TCTCTGGTTCACGCCCCTAATACTGTTGGACAGGAATGGCAGGACAGCTGTGATGGCTGACTTGTTGTTTTGTGTTGTTTGTGTGTGTCTGCACCCGGAAGTCACATTGACCTCTCGTGACTGACCCCTACTGGGGTGGCCCGGAGGATATTCGGAGAGGTGGCTGAATAAAGCCTGCCTCTGTCCTCCCGACTTGGCATTCCAAGGAAGTCTCCCATCCAAGTACTAACCACAGTCGACCCTGCTTAGCTTCTGAGATCTGACAAGATCGGGCTTGTCTGGGCTATCCAGGTCAGGGCGTGATGGCTGACTTTTGAGATCCAAGAGAAGACAAAATAGCATCTTGTTTCACACTGCGGTGTGTAGTACAGCTCTCTGTGCTTCCATGTTGGGTGAGCGAGGGGAACACGCAGCAATGCAGTTCAGGACAGAACCCGACATGATGCCCACAGACCCTCTGGGTACGTGCTTGGAAAGCCACCAGGCCTTCCTGTCAGTGCCACTCGTTAGATGAATGCCACCAATGAGCTGCCAGGTGGGGCTGTGGTTCAGTGGCAGAGCATCTGCTTGTCATGCAGAGGGTCCCAGGTTCAATTCCCAGCATCTTCATTGGAAAGGACCAAGTAGTAGGTGATGGGAAAGATCTCTGTGGTAGACCCTGGAAAGCGGCTGTCAGTCTGAGTAGACAATATTGACCCTGATTGTCCAAGGGTCTGATTCACCATAGGGCAGCTTCATATGTTCATGCTGATTCGTCTATTGCGCATACTCATCTCTTCTTTGTGCCTTTGCCAGAACCAATGGTTGGAAATTAAATCAGAAGAGTTTTCGGCTAAACATTAGGAGGGACTTCCTGACAGAGCGGTTCCTCAGTGGAACAGGCTTCCTCGGGAGGTGGCGGGCTCTCCTTCTTTGGAGGTTTTCAAACAATGGCTAGATAGCCACCTGACAGTACTGCTGATTCTGTGAACTTGGGCAGGTCATGAGAGGGAGGGCAGGAAGGGTTGCCTCAGTGCTTTGTTCTTGTGGCCCTTTCTTAGAGAAGAAGAGAAGAAATTGGATTTATACCCTGTCCTTCACTACCCAAAGGTGTCTCAGAGCGGCTTACAAACTCCTCTCCCTTCTCCTCCCCACAACAGATCCTGTGTGGTAGGCGGGGCTGAGAGAGCTCTTGACAGAAACTGCTCTTTTTCAAGAACAGCTCTTATCAGAACTACGGCTTGCCCAAGGTCATCCAGTCACGTGCAAGTGGAGGAGTGGGGAATCAAACCCGGTTCTCCCAGATTAGAGTCCGTGCACTTAACCACTACACCAGACTGGCTCTCACACCAGGGAAATGCCGATTGCCACTTTGGGGTCAGGAAGCCATTTTTCTCCAGGCCAGTTTGGCTTTAGATCCTGGAGATTTTTTTTGTCATCTTCTGGATGTGGAACAGAGGTCACTGTGGGTGGGTGGGGGTATTTGTGAATGTCCTGCACTGTGCAGGGGGTTGGACTAGATGACCCTGGAGGTCCCTTCTGACTCTATGATTCAAACTGCACATGTAAGTGAAGCATTAAGATTCTGACTGGAGTCAGCAGGGCTGCAAGCCAGGGAGTGTGTACCATTGAGTGCCTTTCAGTTTTCACCTTGATCCCAAGTGTTTATGCTGGAAAATGCTGGCACAACACCATGATTTATGATGCTGTGCTGGCGCTGTGTGCCAGGACGGCAAGATCGAGGGCTGGGATGTTAGTTTTGTGGTTCTTGAAGTGACGCTGCTGGAGAACATCCAGAACTCAGTTATGACCAATGTTCCCTCTAAGCTATGGGGTCTTGTGAGCAAATATTCTACTTTGTGAGCCACTGGCATTAAAGTTGTGAGCGAGCAATTTGGCTACTGCATAAATTAGTCTGCTCTGGAGCCCTCCTTCCTGAGCGAAGACAAAAATGTGTGAGCCAGAGGCTAAAAAACTGTGAGCTAGCTCACACTGACTCAGCTTAGAGGGAACACTGGTTATGACCTGATTTTTTAAAAAGTATATATTTTAGAAAAATACTATACTACAGTACATTATGACATATTTGATGCACATTAAACACAGTATTTACAAGTACTGTACTGTTGACACAGCACGCTGTTTTACATCACAGTATGATTCATCTACATACCAACTCTTTTTCTGTATAGCAACGGTGGAAATTGCCACCTAGTTTTCCAGAATGTGACCTTATGATATGTTGTCAAAAGCTTTCACGGCCAGAGTTCATTAGCTGTTGTAGATTTTCCGGGTTGCCTGGCCGTGGTCTTGGCATTGTAGGACCTGATGTTTCGCCATTAGCTGTGATTGGCATCCTCAGAGGTATAACACAGAAAGACGGAGTCCTCTCTGTGTCAAGGTGAGAAGAAACATGGTAGGCAGGTAATTTATATCTACTCAGGAAGGTGGGGGTACGGCTGAGTCATTATCTTGTCGGAGTTCCCCAGGCCGTGAACATGCTAATGGAGGAGCTTTCCTGAGGAGGTTCTTTTGTATATGGATTGTTTCTGACGAAATGTCAGGTCCTACAATGCCAAGACCACAGCCATACAACCCGGAAAATCTACAACAGCTAATGACCTTATTATGCTTTGATGCTGCTCATTTCACCATTCTAATAATCTCTCAGACCCTTCCTGACCAGATTCAGGTGGGTCGCCGTGTTCATCCGAAGCAACAGATCAAAGTTTGAGTCCAGTAGCACCTGTCAGACCAACAAAGTTTAAGTCTGGGTACACAATCTTGTGTGCATGCAGGCTTCTTCAGAAACAGTGAAACAGTTCTCTTCAAGCCTTACAGATAGGTAGAGAGAAGGTGGAGGGGTTAGTTGCCAGGAAAGGCTAGTTAGAGTCAAGATGCATAAGTAACTGAGCGATAAGTATAGCTAAGGTTGGGTTAAAGCAGTGGGTAAGACCTGTGAATGGCAGCAAACAGACCTCCTAACCCAGTGGCGTCAAACATGTGGCCCGGGGGCCGGATGACGCCCCCGGAGGGCTTCTAACAGGCCCGCAGTGGAACTGGCTGTCTTCTGCTTCTTCTTCCAGTTCTGCTGCTGCTGAGCCATTGTAGGTTTGCAGCTTACAGATACACACTTGAACAGCATACTCAGGATTGCAACAGCACAGACATTTTGATGCAGTAATTCAGAGCAAGACGTGTCAGTTCTCAGACACTGTTAAATAAACAAAATATTTTGTTGTTCCGTTGCACAGTCGAGTCCGACTCTTCGCGACCCCATGGACCACGCCAGCCCCCCCCCCTTTTCTGTCATGCTCCGGAGTGCTATTTTCTCTTCAAAATATTGCAAGAGTGCTATTTTACGTTAAAAAAAAACACCCTTGTGTTTGTGTCCTTTATAAAACGGCACTACATTTTATGACACACACGGCCCAGCCCAACAAGGTCTCGTTTGTGTCAGATCCGGCCCTCTTAACAAACGAGTTCGACACCCCTGTCCTAACCTATCTGTTTTGCTAGGATTGTGGTTTGTCTTTCAACACTGGCCAGAGTTAGTCTTGCCATGGCAAGCAAATTTAACACCACCGCTTGCGTAGACATATGGACAGTTTTCATATAACTCAGTAAGAAAAACGTCGGCTCTGAAAGGTAAACTAATGTCTGGATATTTCAGATACCGCATCTGATATCGTTCCCCAGACTTTCCGTGGTCTATTACAAAGCCACCCCGCATATGGCACAACCTGGTTTTTATGGGGGGGGGATAATTTCACCCTGACTTTGATGGCCCAGGCTAGCCTGATCTCGCCAGATCTCAGAAGCTAAGCAGGGTCGGCCCTGGTTAGTACTTGGATGGGAGACCGCCAAGGAAGCCCGGGGTCTCTATGCAGAGACAGGTGATGGCCAACTACCTATTTGTCTTTGCCTTGACCCGGATGGCCCAGGCTAGCCTGATCTCGCCAGATCTCAGAAGCTAAGCAGGGTCGGCCCTGGCTAGTACTTGGATGGGAGACCCCCGAGGGGCCACCAGGGTTGCTGTGCAGAGGCAGGCCATGGCCAACCACCTCTCCACCTCTGTCGTTCCCTAGTCTTGAGAACGCTACGGGGTCTCCATATGTCCCTGGAAGAGCTTTGCGCTCCACTGATAATAACTTGCTGGTGATCCCAGGCCCCCCAAAACGTCCGGCTGTCCTCGACCAGGGCCAGGGCCTTTTCAGTCCTGGCCCTGACCTGGTGGAACTCTCTGCCGGATGACACCAGGGCCCTGCGGGATCTTACGCAATCCCGCAGGGCCCGTAAGGCAGAGATGTTCCGCCAGGCTTTTGGTTGAGGACAGCGAAGGTTGATTACATTGGCTGGCACCCTTCCCCCCTTTTCCTTCTCTTTCCTATATGTGTATTTTGTTAAGTTCTACGCCCTCCCACCGTATAGCCAGGTAGTGCAGAAAGGGAAAACTGTAAATCATCATCTGGGATTTTATCCTGGTTTTATTTTTATTGACCGTATTGGATTTTTAAATTTGTATTCTGTTTTACGGCGCTATGCCTCTCTTGTGCATCGCCCAGAGCCCGGCATAAGCTGGGATAGGGCGATTAATAGATGGTAATAATAATAATAATAATAAATAATAATAATAATAATAATAATAATGCCTGTTGTGACTTAACGACACTTTGCACACATACCAAAAAATAGGTTTGTCAGCTGTTGCTAATTCCTCCATTCCTAAAAAGTTGCAGCATCTCTAAGACAGCAATGGTAGAGGGTGGCAGTTTATTTTAATTATGGGAAATGAAGACCAGGCTACAGCAGCTGTGAAGCAGTCTTTCAAACAAATGAAATATGTTTTTGCTTAATCTGATAGATGGCGTTTCCGTTTCTCCACACTAAGCAATTCTACAGAGATTTACTGTTGGCAAATAAAATGCTGATTGGTTATTTTAAAGGCATTTTATTTTTTAAAAAAACAAAATCCCTTAACTCGTTTTCGTTCCCTTTCTCACAAATTGCAATGTGTTTAGTTTCTTGGCAGTACGGAAGTGGAACAGCCCAAAGGCACCGAAGTCGTGAGAGATGCCGTTAGGAAGCTGAAGGTAAGAATCCCTTTTCAAATGTTGCATACGCAAAGCAAGCGATGATTGATCTGTTCCAAACATATTTGGGGAGCTCCGTTAGCATGATTTTAATTAAGGGGTTTTTTTTGCGATTTCAATCAATTGTGTTTTTGTCACAGAATGATTTAATATAAGACACTGGGCTTTGCTTCAGGATGTAAAATTAATACCAACTGGAAACTCAAAGCGAATACTTTCATAAACATAATGGTGCTGTTGTAGCTGTAACATTACAGATAAGCAACGGCAGGGTTATCTCTTCATGTTCTGGGGTTGGATTCTTGCATCTTGTTTAGATACAGGCACTCTTTGGGGAGCCAGTTTGGTGTAATGATTAAGTGCATGGACTCTAATCTGGGAGAACCGGGTTGGATTCCCCACTCCTCCACTCGCAACTGCTGGATGACCTTGGGCAAGCCATAGTTCTGTCAGAGGTGTTCTTGAAAAGAGCAGTCCTCAGTCAGAGCTCTCTCAGCCCCACCTACCTCACAGGGTGTCTGTGGTGGGGAGGGGAAGGGAAAGGAGATTGTAAGTCTCTCTGAGACTCCTTTGGGTAGTGAAGGGTGGGGTATCAGTCCAATATCCTCCTCCTTCCTGTAACAATAGAAAAGAGCAAGAGTCCAGTAGCACTTTAAAGACTAACAAAACCTGTGGCAGGATATGAGCTTTTGTGAGCCACTGCTCACTTCTTCAGATGTCTGTGAGCAGTGACCCCTGAAAGCTCCCACCCTGTCACAAGTTTTGTCAGTTTTTAAGGCGCTGCGGTGGCTCAAGTGGTTAAGACACTGCAGGCTGTGGAAGGTCGGTAGTTCAGCAGTTCGAGACCCGGGTTGCCGCATGACGGAGTGAGCTCCCGTCTCTAGTTCCAGCTCCTGCCAACCTAGCAGTTCGAAAGCAAGAAATTGCAAGTAGATAAATGGGTACCACTTCGGTGGGAAGGTAACAGCGTTCCGTGCGCCTTGGTGTTTAGTCATGCCGGCCACATGACCACGGAAACGTCTTTGGACAGCGCTGGCTCTTCGGCTTTGAAACGGAGATGAGCACTGCAACCCTAGAGTCGGACTCGACTGGCTTTCGAGCAAGGGAACCTTTACCTTTAAGGTGCTACTGGACTCTGGCTCTTTTCTACTAATAATGACCACCCTAAGCTAGAGATGTAAAATTTCTGGAAATTTTGAAGCTCGAAAAAAAACCCGGTTTTTTTCCGTTTTTTTTTTTTCCGGGGGGAAACAGAAATTTTCGGAAAAATTTCTTTTGTCCTTTCTAGTTTGAAAGTCATTCTGTTACTTTAGGAACATAAAATATTACTATGGACATTTTTATTTGGCATGAAATTATCACAACTAGCATATTAAAAATATAGTGTATCCAAACAATTATTACAGAATACCAATATATATATATATATATATATGAGGTGCGATATATAAGAAATGATTTGGAAAATATTTGAACACCTGGTCTTAAAATATTTTATTCATCATGTTAAAATAAAACGTTCCATAATCAATTTTTTTCTTTTCTTTTCTTTTTTCAATTTTTTCAAATTTTTCGGAAAAAAACAAAAAAGGCTTCAGGAAAAAAACGGGAAAAAAACGTTTTTTTCCCGAATTTTTCCAGTTTTTTTCCGGGCCTTCACATCTCTACTAAGCAATTGTATGAATTTATGTTTTCATTTCACAGTTATGTGCTTAAAGAACTTGGAGTGGGGCAATAAGATCACGGCGACCTCCTTAAATATTCTTAATTCTAGTCTCTATACATCTAAGTTAGGGATGCCGACCTCCAAGTGAAACCTGGGGAATCACCCGGGATTACGTCTGATCCCCAGACTACAGAGATCAGTCCCCCTGGAGAAAATGGCTACTTTGGGGGGTGGACTCTGGGGCATTAGACCCCGCTGAGGTCCCTGTCCTCCCCAGGCTCCACCCCCCAAATCTTCAGAAGTTTCCCGACTTGGATCTGCCAACCTTATCCCCCCCCCCATCCCCCAGTGGTAGCCAGCAGGGACTTGGCAACCCTAGACTAAGCATTAACGTGGCAGTCACTGCACAAGGGAGAAAATTACATCTGTATTGCGCACTGTGCTAGTCCCAAGGAGGTAGTCACGTTAATCAAAAATATAAATGAAAGTTTTGTTGTTATCTATTAGTTGGTCTATATTCCAATATAAATTCCATGGGCTTATCAGGTGGATGAGGTGAGTCTTCACTTGGCAGCAGGCCCGTACCCAGGATTTTATGGCTTGTGGGGCAAAAAAAAAATTGGGTGGGACTGCCATTTTTATGTCAGCTCCAATCCGCCCCCAAGGCCAACCGCCGGCGGCCACCCCTCTCCCTCCCCTGCAAGATTTAAAGGGCCCTTCAGCTGATTGGTGGGGAGTATGTGGCCCGCTGATCAGCTGGAGGGCCCTTTAAATCTTGCAGGAGGGAGGGGAGAGAACATAAGAGAAGCCAATGTTGGATCAGGCCAAAGGCCCATCCAGTCCAACACTCTGTGTCACACAGTGGCCAGAAATAGCAGGTGCCATCAGGAGGTCCACCAGTGGGGCCAGGACACTAGAAGCCCTCCCACTGTTGCCCCCCCCCAAGCACCAAGAATACAGAGCATCCCTTGCCCCAGACATAAGAACATAAGAGAAGCCAATGTTGGATCAGGCCAATGGCCCATCCAGTCCAACACTCTGTGTCACACAGTGGCCAAAAATACCAGGTGCCACCAGGAGGTCCAGCAGTGTGGCCAGAACACTAGAAGCCCTCCCACTGTTGCCCCCCAAGGGTCATTTAAATGCTTTTGGGAAGGACTGGGGGGCCTTTAAATGCTTTTGGGAAGGAGTGGGGAGGCCTTACGTGTGGCCCTCCCCCCCATTATTCTCAAAAATCTTCCCAACAAAATCTTCTCCTCAAAAAAATCTTTGTGGGGCTGGACCTTTAAGGAAGGGGGCGCAGCCCCCAATAGCCCCACTGTGGCTTTGGACCAGCTTGGCAGACATAAGTTTGAGAGGTTGCAAAGAAGAATATTATAAACAGAAAGAGACCAGGCCTGGCAACAAGCTCTGTCCCCATCGGTACTCATGCAGTACTGTTACAGGGCCTAATAATGCCAACTGTACCATCTTTGGTTGCTCCCCTTGCTTACTTTCCACAATAGCCATGTTCACGTGTTGCCGTGAACACATGTACATCCTGTCTGTCTGTAAGAAAAAGCCATCGTGGGCAATGATCCCTCTAAGCCTGTGGAGTCCTGTGAGCAAAAATTCTACTTTGTGAGCTCCTGGCATTAAAGTTGTGAGTGAGCGATTTGGCTGCTGCATCAATTAGTTTGATCTGGAGCCATCCTTCCTGAGCTGAGACAAAAATGTGTGTTGTTGTTGTTCAGTCGCACAGTCAAGTCCGACTCTTTGCAACCCCATGGACCAGATCACGCCAGGCCCTCCTGTCTTCTGCCGTCCTCTGAAGTTGGCTCAATTTCATGTTCGTTGCATCTATGACGCTGTCTAACCATCTCATCCTTTGCCGTCCTTGTCTTCTTTGACCTTCAGTCTTTCCCAGCATCAGGGTCTTCTCCAGTGAGTGCTCCCTTCTCATTGGGTGGCCAAATGTGTGAGCCGGAGGCTAAAAAACTGTGAGCTCGCTCACACTAACTCAGCTTAGAGGGAACACTCATCACGGGTTCACTTTATGGATGAAACTGGGAACCTATGCTTGAATTAATGGGGGGGGGGGTTGTATCACACTAGCTGTTGACTTTAATATTATCCAATGCACATACAAAGAACAGTAAAGAGTACAGTGCAGACATCATACGCACATTCCATGTAACTTGTGAACAGGGCTTCTGCTATATACCCTCAAGTGCCATTCTGTGCTATATCTTGTCATCCGTCTGTATCTTGTCATCTGTCTGTAATCCTAATTCCCCTCAATTTGTTCAGATTCCACTGAGGGCAATATGGCTTTGTACACAATATGTGGGAGGTGTGGAAACCCATTCTGTGGAAAAGCATTCACTATCCTTAAAAAGGTTTCCCTTGCTCGAAAGCCAGTCGAATCCGACTCTAGGGTTGCGGTGCTCATCTCCGTTTCCAAGCCGAAGAGCCAGCGCTGTCCGAAGACGTTTCCGTGGTCATGTGGCCGGCATGACTAAACACCACGGCGCACGGAACGCTGTTACCTTCCCACCAAAGTGGTACCTATTTATCTACTTGCAATTTCTTGCTTCCGAACTGCTGGGTGGCTCAAGTGGTTAAGAAGCTGAACTGCAGGCTGTGGAAGGTCAGTAGTTCAGCAGTTCGAAACCCGGGTGCCGCATGATGGAGTGAGCTCCCATCTCTAGTTCACTATCCTTAGGAAAGCTCTTTTGTTTCTCTAGCCATTCCTCAGAACTTTAATAAGAAACCTCATCATGTGCTTCAAATGTTGCGTTATGCACGACTCGTAATTTGCATTCTGTTGAGATTTGAGGTTGGCTGGGAAGAACGTTGTGTACGACAGAGCCACAAGGCCAGACCTCTGACATGTGTCTCCTGGGATTTCACTGAGGAATTGACAGGGAAGGTTGTGTTTTGCTGCCTTCGTTCTCCCAGACGGCCAAGGTCATTAACAGGCCTTCAGGGCATATAAAGTCTATAAACGACCCCTAAATGCTCACTTGCCATGCCTTGGCTCAGATGTTGAAACAAGGCGGTGTCGGCCATCCAGTCTAGTTTTTATTCCTGCCCAGAGATTTTCAGCTGAAGGGGGAAACAGGATCACAAATCTGTGATACCTCACAGCATAAGAGGCCATGATAGGATCCATCCTGTATTATACTTTCATATTTTTACATTAAAATTAGAGCCATATAAAATATTGGGGGGGGGGGGGTTAATGATCATTTTGAATCTAATTGGTGCTTAAGTTGCTTGTGGGAAGCGGGAAAAGCAGTTACCATTGCCTAGCCAAAAATCACATCTGGCACGTAAGATATATTTTTTAACG